CAGAACTTTTTTTCCCTCGCAACTTCGTTTTGGTCTGTATTTATTTAGCCATTATGGAACCAGAAACAATAAAAAAAGCCGAAAAAAAGCCTAACCAACCCTTCGAGTTTTCCGGCAAGGTCACAGATGCGATCAAAACCAAAGTTTATGGCCCCAAATATCGCGATGAATTGTATTGACAGTTAATTCCCGATACGGGCAAAAGCAAAGTGAAAAAACTATTTGCTTTCAAAAATACGGTCGGGGAGAAAATTTGACAAGAGTTAGAAAGTTTTTCTTATTACGGAAAACCTCTCGTTTTTTGCGTGAAGAAGTACACTAGCGTGCCGGGTAATTATCAACTCCTAAAGTGATGACAGATTTAAACTGAGCAACTAAAGTCGTTTACGAACTGCTTGCGGGCGGAGGTGGGCCAACTCTCGGTTTAGTGGCTCCTCAAGACAATACCATTAAACAATATTCTCCAGTGCGAAATTTCACCAAATTAGACCAGACCAGTTGATATCAAAGCCCTTGCCACGATTGCGGCCTAGTTAAACAAGTTCGGCGAGGTAAATATGAGTTTTTGAACCAAGGGTCGCGTTATAGTTGGGAACTAATTTCTCTCTGTTTAGATTGTATAGGGATTAGGTATTTTGAGCTATTAGAGGGCTTGTATGGTGATATCCCGAACTTTGGCTATTACGCATTGAAGGAATGAAACGAAGAAGTTAAGCCTTGGCTTTTAGCGGAAAGAGATAAGTATGTCAAAGAAGCCTAGTCTAAAAAAGTGTCAAGAGTGATTTTGCTCGCAACCAGCCGAAGAATTATGTCGCCAAATAAGAATGGGAGAAATTCTGGCGGGCGAGGATGATATTTACTATTATTGTAAAGAGCATTGCCGGAACAAAAACCAAGGTTGTCCTAATCATCCGCGACCTAAGCCCCTAGTTATTCCTCGTTGAAATTACTCGCCTCCTGATATTACGGAGATGAGCAAAGCCAAGTTAAAAAATGCAATCCGGAAAGATTTGGAGTTATTACAAAAACTACGGGGGGAAATTGAAGATAATCTGGCGGCTTTGGATGTAGCCGGAGATTCCGAATGATGAGATGTCGATTTAGCGGGTGATTTACTTACCAGTTTAGTCAAGGCACAAACAGTAATTACGACTGAGAACGGGTTAAACGACAAACTCGAAAGTTGAAGTGGTTGGCAAGAAGACGAAGAAGAAAATTGGGGAGATTAGTTCTCCCCCTTTATGCTTAGCAACTGGCTAAACCAGTTAGAAAAGCACCATTACGAATATGAAAACTAACGAAAAAATTAAGCAAATTAGCGAATGGCTTATTAGCCAAGAAGGATATGTTCCAACTACCAAACCGAATATTTGCAAGAAATACGGAGTGGGAGAAATAGAATTGATTAGTGAAGAACCTCAGGAGGGAAAAACTG